GTATAAAATTTTCCGTCTAAGCTGACCACCTGTCTTAAAGTAAGTGCACTTGTTTCAACTCGTATCCAATTACTGTCTGCAGTTTATTCAAATTATTTCTTTAGCCGCTAAAGGTATCAACCGTTTAGCAGTTATAGAATAAAATAAAGCTTTGTTTTAGTATTTCAATTAATTGTTTATTCCTAAGATAAAAATAGTTATTGGTTCTTATTCAAGAATTGTATTTAACATTAATTTTATTGAATAGTTCTACGACTATATAGATAAAATAATCAAAATAAATCAACATTTCTTTAAAATATTGTTTCTCGATTTTTAATCTGCAGCTTAAGGCTCTATCTAATAAGTTACAATTCACAATTTGTAATCACGAGTTACATTTTATATTTCTGTTAAAAAAGTTATGGTGGAAAATTAACAAAATTGTAAATAGTATGTACCTGCAATTTTACTATTTTCTGTTAATTAAAAGTTTCAATTTGACAGGTAAAAGTTTACAACTTTTTCAGAATAACAAGTTTAACATGGAATTGTAGATAAAAGCTTAAATTATTCAAGAATTTCAAAAAATTCAAAATATATTATTAAAATACCTATAAAATACACCTATTTGCTTAATACAATTGTTACCGAAAATAGCAGGCTTTTTTTTTACAAATTCAAATGGATAATTCAACACAATTCGACAATTGTGTCATCCTTTTACAAATTTGTCGGATTATAACGTTTATTAGATAGGGCCGAGGTCTATTGTAGTTCTACTTTTTAACCGAGTTCAAAAAAGGAGGTTTATATTCGATGCCTATCTTTTTTTACCGATCTCGGAAACAGCTAAACGGAATTAAATGATTCTTCTTTTATTAAACAGATTTTACTTCTCTTCTCTTTTAAATGCTACCATATAAATTTGGAGAAAAATTTCCGCCATAAAGATGTGAAAAAAGATAAAGTCTAACGACTAAAAATAAAAAAAAACTGTAGTTTTCAAACCATATCAACCCCCCCCCCCCCCATGAGGCAATCTGGGGGGGGGGGGGTTGATAATGGGGGATGTTCAGCATGAACTTTATTAGGCTGTAATGTTAATGATATTTGTAATCTTGAACTTGTGATATTCTTGTGATAGATGTGATATTGGTCCACTCAAAGGGTAAAAACTGAAATAATAAATAATTTCCAAGTAATATTGAAATTGCAGCTTTTATTCTACGATACACTTTGTCTTACCACATTGTAAATAAATTACTAAATACTTTTTTTTAAGAAATTTGAATTTAACGTTTTGGATGGGTTTTTCGCTCACTTATAAATCACCACACGTCACGTGCAGGTGAAGTGTGTGAATTAAGTAAATTGCCACTTGATAAAAAAATGCCACCTCTCTCATACCTCATTTCGTAAGCATAATAATCAAATTTAATATTCACACACAACATCAAATCGAACATGAATAAGTCATAAACATTACCTTTTATTTTATTACAAACTAAAATGATTAGAATTCTGTGCTCCAATATCCCAATGGTCTGATGTTGTTCTGGGACTTTTAGGTCTATGTTTATTTTCTTTTTATAGGATAGGGTGACAAACGAGCACACAACCCACCTGATGGTAAGTGGTTGCTGTGACCCATAGACATCTACATCTATCCTCAATAAAGAATCAAACTGCAGATGCGTTGTCACCCGTGAGGACTAATATAGAATGCCCCTTTTCCAGTAAAAAAGGGTCTCCGGTTCTCTACACTCTTCATACGAAACACAGCAGTGTTAAGGTGCTATTTGTGTTATGTAGAAATAATAACAAAAAATAATGTGCTGATTATGTTTCTTGCCTTGCATGTCGTAAAAAGTAACTAATAATAATATAATAATAATCTTTTATTTAAATAAAAGTACAACAATAAAGTGAAGACTCTGATCCCCAAACTAGACAAGTCTGTATCTTAGGGATCAGTAATTTGGTTTGTGATTGTGTAGAAGATGGTGTAGCCTCATATAACTTTTTTCACGATAATGAATCTAAACCCATATTTTTTAGCTCGCCCGAGTACCTAGTTGCTCTATTGACTCTGCCTAGCTGCTGTAACCGACATAACTAATCCTGTACTATATCAGTATCCACGTTTTCAGGCTATACCTGATTAATAACCAACCAAAATTAACGTTATAAATTTAAAAAGAGCCTAAGCATATACCATTATGTTGACAGTCGATACAGTACGCCGTCTCAAATGTTTGAAATTATTATGAGCCGATTATGATCACTGAGCACTATACGTGACATATGTTATTATTTATTAAAGTCTAACCCGTCTTATCTGCTGAGGTATCTAGCGTATTGGTAGGGCGTATTAGTAACTGTTTGAGCAATTACATACCTTAAATGGTAACGTTGTTGTAACTGCGAAATGGAGGCGGACGCGAAAAACAGAAAGCTGGGTCGCTGTACTCTCTTCGTTCTTTATAAACTTAAGTTGATTGCACAATGAGATAGTTTTTCAATAGACAATATCGCATCAAAATCCCCAATGGCGCGTTTACACTAAGGATAATTCAATGAAACTACTATAGTTCTATGAATCAATCGTATTATTCGATTAAGTAGTTCAAATGTATGTTCAATGTTTTAATTTTTCTTTTGATATTTGACCCTATTGAAAACAATTTTTATTAATAGTGCAATGTAAAGTAGTTAGCTTGAAATAGATGCACAATTTTTTTTGGTTGAAAATCATCAAAGATGCTCATATAAACTAATCATTGAACGACGTGAAAGAAGTTTCGCATCAAGCTACGAGTACCCCTTTCGGCGGTCACTAATAAAATATAAGATGAAAATATAAAACTGTGATGTTGATAATTTTTTGCTATTTCCCTATCTCTTATATGAATTTTAGTTATGGGACGAGATGACGTTATAAATGGCAATGGTGATCGCTGATCGTTGCCATTGCCATGAAAGGCAATGATCGTTTTCTTTATACGTTTATTCTTGCTTATCCTGATGGTTGACTGATGCCCCTTTGGCATTAAGTCTGCAATATTATGTACTACTTTATGCATTAAACTGTAAATAAATGAATAAATAAATGGTACTGGTATTGCAAACTTGGACATTTCGCAAAAATTAAAAAAAGATAAACTACACATTAAAAGATAGAGATTTAAGAGAATTAAAATAAAGATACTTAAACTTTTAACACACTCTTTATGCACGCAGCTTAACTCAAAGCTTCTGTTACATTATAGACAGTTGCAACTTGGTGTTTATTTGTTTAATTTTGTTCTAATTTTTAAACTGAAACTTAACATAATGGTTTAAGCCGTCGCAATAGTTACAGTAAAAATTGTGTACTTAATGGATAAAAAAACTGAAAATAATTCCTGTTCTAAAGTAAACATATCGTGTGAATTCATCCTTACCAAGATATGTCTAATACCATATACGGTATATCATAAATTCATCTATACTTGTTCTTGTGACGAACAGACAGACAGTAAGGATTTATGGTTCGCGAGAGTTATGGTTAACGGTGCTACTGTGCTGACAGGTTTTTATTGAGATATTTTGTACTGTAAACAGTGATTTAAGTTCGCATCCATACTGTTTATATTTGACTCTAATTAATTTACTGCAGGTAGTTTTCTTGTGTCCACTCCTATAGTTTAAATTAAATACCAAAATATTTATTGCTGAGAGTCAGAGAGCTTGAAGCTCTTTAGCTGATTAATCATCATTTAAAATTCTTTATATTCATCATTTAAAATGTATTATTCCAACGTATTTCATGAGTTCTATTTTTAATCGAAAGTTTCTTTTGTTTTTATCTTCAAAAACCCGTGAAATATTGTATTTTAGTCTCTTTCATATCATACTGTTTGTCGTAATCCTCCCGTTTGGTAGACAGTTTAGTAGTAAATGTTGAAAGATATTTCGCACTTTGAACTCTGCTACACTTAGCCGTTTTGAATATTTTATATCTGGTTAATAAGATAGTCATGACGTCATCAATCGGAGACTATATCTTCCCGGCATTCCTTTCAACCTCCATCCATAGTCGACTCCTACGAAACACACGACATGGTGATAGACACTCTTCCGCAGCTGCCATCACACCTCATTTATATTGTACGAGTAGAATGTTTATCTTATATAGAATAAAACTCCACTGCTTTTTCCGCTTCTCATTTACTTGGAATGCTCACTAGAATGTTATGAATTAGAAGTATCCTACTACTCCAGTTCAAAATGACAAATTCTACATATCATAAAACATTCCCCGCAATGTTTTGCTCACTGAGCATATGGTAAACAATCATCATTTTGCACAGTGGCTTAGCATTAAGTTACGGTCCTGAGGACTGCGGGTTTGAGTCCCGCAAGTGTTTGTATGGCCTACAGATAATTGTTTTGGATCTGGATGTTTATTCTTTTGCAATTTATGAATGCAAACTGCATCTAAGATACAGGAGATCAATCCTAGTTTGGGGGTAACGTTTTTAAATAAGAAATATTATTGGAAACACGTTTATAATATGTTTTCTAAACTTACTAACTCCTAACTCGTCGTCGTTAGTTATAAATTAATAGTAAACTTTAATTTTTTTACAGTTTTGTTCAAGTGATGGTGTACCTTCTATGAGTTACTAAAAGCATTGATGTATGTTTGCACTATAAAATGTTCGACCTACAGCCTTTATCGTTAGCATTTCTGTAATTGCGATGCTTCTAGATCTCAAAATTGTCGCACCTTTGATATTACTTGCCGATATCAACCCCACTCTAGAATTTTGTCCTATATTCTAGAGGCGTTTTACATACATAATTTGCACATATACAAACATCCAAACTCCAACCATCCAATATATAAACTAGGAACAATAAATTGTACGCCATTCAAATACTTGTAACTCGCGGGATTCGACGGAAGCCAAACTTTGGCCCTGCACTATTGAACATAGTACATGAATAGTAAAACTTAAAATCTATTAAATTACCTAGGGTCCCAATTGGCGGACAGTCTGCGTCTGGAGCGTACTCTTAAACGCATACGCACACGCCGCGTCGATTCTCCCCGCACGCTGACAACTATCGTACCACCGTTTGTCGATGTTAACTGAAGGAAGAATATGTTTAATTAGTTCCTACTTTTACTTAAATTTAAAAATATCTCATAAACTGACTGTCATATCATGATTAATGATGATGGACAGCCCTTAAGCATTTAGTACTGTGATCCTATGCAACCAAATCGATCAGATCAATACTTCCCAAGTTCTAAGAGGCCTCAAACCAGCAATTTATAGGGTCCTGTTGGTGATGAAACAATTATTTCTTACGATCAGTAATTGCTTACAAAGTTGGTAAGTTTATTTCTTATGGTAACATTAATTATAAGTTCACACTCTAAATATTATTTTTAAAGGGAAACTCGGTCAATGAAATACAACAAATCGAGCAACATTCTCCGAACTGTTACATCAACCTATTAAACTTAAAATAGTTATTCAAATGAATCATATAAAAATATTGGTGTCACTTATAGCTTTATAAACTACTGATAAAATCTTAAGTGGCGTCTATTTGTATGTGTTTCCATGATACATGTTTATTTACATTTAAATATAAAAATTATTATGGTTAATATTTTTATAGAAGAGCCAGGGCAAACGAGCATCGCCCATAAACATTGGCAACACCAGGGGAATTTCAGGCGCGTTACAGTAACGGCCTTGTATTAAAGGTCCGGAAAACTGTTGGTGACATTAAATTCTAAAATGTGTTCTATGGGTTGAATTAAACTAAATTTAGTCTTCGACCTAAACTGGAGACTGTTTTACAGAGACTCGATTTCAGCAATGACTTGCAGCACTTGAAGAAATGTTTCCGAGAAATATTGATATATTACTAATATGTAAAAGAAACAGAGTAGGCATGGAACCTTGTAGAACGCCAGAATTAAGAGGCTTGTATTCGAAGCACCACTAATTACGACTTTGATGCTTCGATTTATAATATTTAAAATATTTTTCAGGTTACTCGCAGGAAATAAGTTTTGAATGTTCTTTGAATGCTTGTGTCTGAAGTCGAGTCTTTGCTGAACAAAGTCTCGGATTGGGGGCGACTAAATCTAGTCCAGTTTAATCCTCAGAAGACACAAGTTTGCGCGTTTACCGCTAATAAGAACCCCTTTGTCGTATTTCCTCAGTTTCGAGGCACTCCCCTTCTTGCCTCAGCCAGTATCGGAATCCTCGGAGTCGACATATCGTGTGACGTGCAGTTTCGTGGTCCTTGGAAGAGAAGGCCAAATTGGCCTCTAAAATGCTTGGCGCGCTCAGCAGAGCGGGACAGTATTTCATGCCGGCACACCGCTTGCAACTTTACAAGGCGCAGGTTCGGCCTCTCATGGAATACTGTTCCCATCTCTGGGCGGGGGCTCCCCAGTGCCACTTGACCGCATCCAGCGCAGAGCGGCTCGAATCGTCGACGACCGAGTCCTTTCCGATCGGCTCGATTCATTGGCACTGCGAAGAGATTTTGCATCCCTTTGCATTTTCTTTCGCATCTACCACGGGGAGTGCTCTGAGGAATTGTTCGGATTAATCCCAGCCGCCAAATTTCACGAACGCATATCGCGGCAGAACTCCCGATACCATCCACACCATCTGGATGATTGGCGATCCACCACTGTGCGATTTAGAAGATGTTTTCTTCCTCGCACGACTTCCTTGTGGAATCGATTACTATCAGCTATTTTTCCGGACCGATACGACTTAGGGACCTTCAAGAAAAGAACGTACTCTTTTTTAAAAGGGCGGCAAGGCATCTGCGATTCCCTCCCTGGTGTTGCAGCTGTTCATGGGCGGCGGTAGTCACTTACCATCAGGTGAGCCGCATGCTCGTTTGCCCCCTCTCCTATAAAAAAAATGAAGCGTTTTATACCAACTTGATCAAAGTTCTTTATTTTTAGCCGACTTTAAACAGAAGGAGGTACTCAATTCGACTGTATTTTTTATGTGTGTTACCTCAAAACCTTTTTCTACTTTTTTGATGTTTTTTTGATCTTGAGTAATCCTTAATAATTTATATAGAAGTCGGTTGTATAAAAATTTTAAGTATACAACTTGTGTCCAAACTAACTGCCAAGACATTCACTCGCCCATCTATGAGTCAAGAAAACTAGAAGTTTACCGGCATTTTTTTTTAAATTAGAAGACTAAATATATCATACTATAAATTAAATAAATATTAAATTGTATGTAGATAATGATTTCTTATATTTACGCGAAGACTACACATTAAGTGAAACTAATTTTTACGTATTTTATCGCGTTGAATTTAATTTTTTAATTCCCGACGTTTCTGGTGCTTTACAGCACCCATGGTCTCGAGGGGGACTGAGGTGTTTTGGGAATCCAAACCCAAGCATACCACTGCAAGTTTTCAAGATACTGTATGCTCATTCTGCGTAGATCGGGCCAAAAATTAATACATATTCAAAAACTGAATATAGCCGGGCTAACTACGACATCAAAACGTCAAACACCTCAGTCCCCCCCCCCTGTCGCGCACTCGAAACGTCGGGAATTAAAAAGTTAAATTAAACGCGATAAAGTCCGTAAAAATTAGTTTCACTTAGTATGCAGATACCTGATTACATGATATAGCTTCTTAAGTAATGTACATTGTATATTCTGTATTAGCTATTAGGCCTATTCAAAAAAAATGTGAACGGTTTGGTTAAAGAGAAAGAGTTACGGGAACAGTAAAATATATAGCTATTGCAGTTATTTTTGTGATTTTTTTTAAATACTAGCAAAAGTATATACCTCTAGTTCTTGACACTCTTCATAAAAATCAGTACCATTTTACGCTTGGATGCTGACACGTGATCCCTTGTCCAGATGAACCATTTATACCGCACTGTATGTCTATGTACCACGTATAAAATATCCAACTACTTTAAGACTTGATGTATTGTTACATACATACCTGTAGAATATATTTTTCTTGTCTTCTTATAATAACAGATAATGTCTTCATACCTGCACCTTCATATTCTTGAAGTAAATTCAGGTTTCCTGTAGAAATAGGAAACTTAGAATTGTTAGTGAATAAAAGTCACCACTGAGGGCTAGCCGGGACTTGATTTTTGCCTTGGAGCCGTGGTAGCTCTAGGGCTTAGTGCTCGCTGTAAATTTCACGGACGTAAGCAAACCGGGTTCAATCCCCGCCGGCACCAATGAAATTTTAAATTTCAATTTTAAGTGCTGATTTACCACGTGCTTCGACGGTGAAGGAAATCATCGTTAGGAAACCTGCATGTCTGAGAAATAAAAAAAATATTTTGAAGACATGTGAAGTCCACTGGGGAAGCGCTGCGGTCACTTCCTTACCCTAAAAGCCGTTCAGAAGTGAGATGAGGCCTGTGCCCAGCAGTGGGACGTATATAGGCTGTAACTTTACTTTACTGAGGATTAAGGTGGAATGCCTCGATTCCATAAAAAAGGATCTAGATCATCTAGATTCCTACCCAGAGCGACTTCTAATATAATATGTTATAATCTAATATTTCCGTACTATTTATTTATTTATTTATTCTTTTTTACATCTACCTTATAATAAGGGATATAAAGGGCGGACTTAATGCCTTGTGGCATTCTCTACCAGTCAACCCTGGATGATTTGAGAAGCTGTGGTAGGTGCAACACCACTCATTAATTAATTAATAAGTAAAAACATTATATCTTATAACAAAAAGCAAATAAATAAAATATTTTTAAACTATACAATTATACTATCTAAACACATAACTGAAATTCGTTTCAAAAAAGCACAAATGAAGTCAAAATTTGTGTCCTCCAGAACGCATTCCGGTTAGGCGGCCCGTCTCAACGAAGATTAGCCATTTGCGCAGGACAGGATTATAGTGCCCAAATGTATACGGCCGTGTCTGCGTATACATGCGTATATTCTGAGTGCACTCTTGCTATTCCTTCACGCCCATTGTCCTATGGGACAGAAATCCGACATGACTGGAAAAAGATCAAGCACAGGACCAACAGCTTTACGTGCTTTCCGGGGCACGGGGGTGAAACATCGCCAACTTCCTGGCTCACGTCTATTACTGAGCGATTATTTTGACGAGAAAATCATTTTTTTCTTTCTTCTTTCTTACACGTGTAAGTTTCGTCACTTATATAAAAATAATTTTTGAATGTTATAACAAGAATATTAATTGAAACATTAATTTCTAAGTAAGACGATATACTAACCATCATTGTCACCTGCACTTCCTTGATATAGCCCCCAATGAAAAGATGAAGAGCAGGGGCTTATGGTGATGTAGACATGGGTGTCCGATATCATTGACGTGTTTAGTTCAAGACTAAAAATAAAGGAGAATATAAATATTACACATTACATAAAACAAAAACAAAAAACAATAATTATGGAAAGATTTTAATCTTGTGAAATTTCCATGGAGTCTCTTAACGTTATTACCGGGTCCTTGTACAAGGATCTACCGTAAATATAAGCGGACGCTTCATATAGATATATACATCTATATTACAGTAACACCCCTGGGGACCAACACGTGCACAACAGTATTATGTTGTTATTTTATGTAGGCGTTCTATGGCAGCGTGGTTCTTTCCTGGTTATACTGGCCCATTTATGCTGGAAAGAGGGTCTAGTACATAAAAATAGAGTAACTATTACAATAGTTACAATAGTTACTCTATTTTTACGTGGCAACAACCGGTCTGTTTGTTTTGGTACTGGTACATTAGACATATTTATATACATTTGTCGGAGGCAAGAAAATGTTCCGAGAATTTTCCTTTCAGAACGTATCTATTATATGAATCATAAAATTGAGAGGGTGTTTTTATCACATTACGAGAGTGAAAGACGAGATAACAATCCACCTGACTTTATTTGGCTACAACAGCCTAAAATACAATTAGAGATCAAAATGATTCCCTTTCACGGCATTTATTTGATGCTAAACTACAACTTAACACACGGCTGCGGCTCTAATAGGGACGATTCGACTGAGAAAGGGCCACGTACTCACAAAGTACCAGCGTGAAACCGCAGAATAATGCTGCTAGGTTTCTTATAGTGAATGTAGATAAGAGACCCTTTTTAGATGTAACAAGGCAATCCATCTTAGTCTTTATGGGTGCATCTACAATTTGATTCTTAATCGATGGTAGACATAGATGCTCAAAGGCCACAGCATTCACTCATCATCTAGTGGACTATGATTTATCACTCTACAAAAAAAAAAACACCTATGATATTTTGAATATCATAGGTGTTTTGTTTGATGACTCCGTGGCGCAGTGGCTTAAGAATTGGTTGATGCGCTGGGGGCCGCGGGTTCGAATACTGCACGGATCAAGTATTTGTATGGCCTACAAATAATTGTTCCGGGTCTGGATGTTTGTCCTCGTGCAATTTATGTTTGTAAACTGCCTCCATGATACAGGAAAAAATCCTAGTGTGGGGGTAACGTTTTAATAAAATAAATTAAAATATATGAGAGAGAAAGACGAACTTACAGCTTACACTACACTAAAACCCAGAAAAATTACAGTTAGGGATCAAAATCAGACTATTTTTAAATGTCAAACACATACGCAGAACTATCAGATTAGTAGGTATTTTACAGGTTACATTTCGGAAAAAGTGCGCAAGAACTGCACTCTCTAGTTCCTCCATCCTCATCCTTATTTTGCTATCAAACGATTCGACGAAAGGCTTTCGTTTCAGCTTGAACGTTTCTAGTGTACATCGTCATTGTTTCGTACGTCGTACGTGGTTAACGACGTCTTTACCACCTAGAAACCTAAAATAACTTAAAATTGGGTAGCACATTGGTCATACTTTGGCCAGTTTACTACCCAATATCGTCTCGTGGACGTCGTAAGAGGCGACAGAGGGAAACAAACCAGGAGATGGTCAGCAGCACTTTCCAAATAACTATATTAATTGTGGTTGCCAACCCGCCTGCCAAGTCTGGCAACTATGGTTAGTATGCCTTCAATGAGACAATCTATGGGTAAAAGCCTATGTTTCGTGGGGGAATTTTAATAGGCTGTAAAGGTAAAGTTTATTAGTAACAAAAAGTTGACAAAGGAAACATTTAAAGAAATGAAGTTGTTATAACTTAATTTGCTTAATTCCGCGTAAAGAAATAAAATTATGTATCCTGCCCAGTTTGAAGACCACCTCCCACCCTCCTTCAACTGTGTGCGCTATCCCCGTCACGACCATTTTCAGCGCAACCACTCCCAGCACCACCACTACCAAAACTACCACACTAGGAAAGTCACACCACTCTCGATAAAACGACACGTGTTTCGCCTCTACACGAGGCAACCTCAGGTTTTTAGGTATACGTGGTATACGGGCCATGCTGCAGCTATATTAGTAGTACAGTTGTAGTACTAATGGGTCGGCTCGACCATGCTCTCACAGAATACCAACGTAAAATAGCAGCTTAACACTGCTGTGTTTCGTATGGTGAGTGTAGAGAACCGGAGACCTTTTTTATTGGAAATCAGGCATTCCATCTTGGTCCTCACGGGTGACAACGCATCCGCATTTTGATTCTTTATTGAGGATAGATGCAGATATCTATGGGTCACAGCAACAACTTACCATCAGGTGGACTGTGTGCTCGTTTGTCACCCTATCCTATAAAAAAAGTAGACTGTGCGCAATCTGGTGACGGGGATAGTGCACGCAATTGAGGGGGGGTGGGAGGCGCTCTTCAAATTGGACAGGACAAATCATTTTATTTCTTTACGCGGAATTAAGTAAATTAAGTAATAGTAACTTCATTATAATGGATTTCCGCAAAGTAGCGCCTGATTCTTATAATTAATTTAAATAAATGTTTTATCTACATTATATATCATTTAGGTTGTGAATATTATTATAAAAAGAACTTAATGTCAGTTGGTTAATTCAACATATTTTATTACCTCCTGCTCTCGCCTCTGTCCAATTTGTAGATTGTCTGATTATCCATTGGTAGCCACTCCCTTGCGAACCTTGACAGAGGTCTGGTGACGAGGACACTTGGCGACGCGAGGCCAACTCCCGCTGCGTGTAGAGCAATAAGCACTGCCAATCTTGCTGTAAGGCTGCTGATGTTTCTGAATAGAACAAAATGACATGATTTTAAGTTTTTTTTTTAAATAGTCGGGTATTGCTTACAATAATTCTGCCTTTAAAAGTTTTTTAACAAAAGGTTTATACTAAACATTTACCATACCAGCATACCAAAAGTTATCTGCTGAACATAGACCTCCTATCCTCCTGGGAATAGTATAATTTTTTTTAAATATATATTATTATTATTTTGAGTCGTTATCTGGAAGATATTGTTGCCTAACCCCCTGTTTCAGTTTCTCTCTGTCGCTTCTTACAACACCCACGGGATGATATGGGATAGTGGATAATCTTGCGCCACTACTACATGTCTGCAATGTAATATATAAAAATATATTAACGCTATACGTGGTAGAGCTATTCTGCAGCTATATTAGTACAGAATAGTTGTAGTACGAATGGGTCGGCTCGGTCAGGGAAGGACCACGCTCTTACAGAATGCCAGCGTAAAATAGCAGCTTAACACTGCTGTGTTTCGTATGGTGAGTGTAGAGAACCGGAGACACTTTTAACTGCAAATGAGGCATTGCATCTTAGTCCTCAAGGATGACAACGCATCTGCATTTTGATTCACAAACGAGGATAAATGTAGATGTCTATGGGCTACAGCAACCGCTTACCGTCGGTTGGACTGTGTGCTCGTTTGTCACCCTAACCTATAAAAAAAACAACTTGCTCGGCTCCGTAGCGCAGTGGCTAAGCGTGTTTTTGCGGCGCTGCAGAGCCGCGAGATCGATTCCCGCATGGAACAAGTGTTGGTATAGCTTACAAATGATTTTTCCAGGTCTGGACATAAGTCCTTATATAATTTATGTATATCAAACTCCTTAGAGATACTGAAGAAATTCCCAGTGTAGAGGTATGGCTTTTGGTAACAAATTTAAAAATATACTTTTACTTTTACTTATCTTCACGCACAATCCCTGACGGGGTAGCCAGAGAGAACAGATCGCCAAGTGTCACGATCCTTACATATCTCTTTCGCTTCTTTCAGATTCATTATCTTCTTCATACATGCACGTCTAGGTATCCGAGTACTCTTGACCCTACCCTCTTCGAGCAATTTGCTCACATGGTCTTCGAAAGTTAGTCTCGGTCTACCTCGACACCTTTTAATATTAACTTTCGCGCTATATATTTTCTTCACCATTCGGTCTTCACTCATTCGCTCAACGTGCCCAAACCACCGAAGCACGCCCTTATCAATTTTTGTGATAAGGTCATCTTTCAAACCTGCCATATTGCGAATCTCTTCGTTTCGCTTTCGGTCGGCCATAGTAACGCCGCACATTTTACGAAGAGATCGCATCTCCACTGCATTCAACTTACTTTTATGCTTCTTCTGGCATACCCAGGTTTCGCTGCCATATAACAAAGTCGGTACCAACACTGCGTTATGTATTGCAAGGCGTGCACTCTTCGCTACGCCTTGCCTTTTGACTAACGCAGTCAGGGCACCATTGACTTTGTTCCCGGCAGCGACACGCCTGTCCACATCTAAATCACATCTTCCATCCCGGCTAAAAGCACTCCCCAAGTATACAATTTCATTTACCTGTTCTAGACATTCCTGATTTACCCATATTTCACACTTCGTTCTCTCTTCGTATATCTGGAAAAAATATACTTAAGCTATTTAAAAAAATGCGTTTGCCTTATATTATATCAAACATAAACGACATTCAAAAAGATGTCTGAAATAACTTACTTGCAACTGTCGTTCCTATTATGAAATGTATAAGAAAGTTTTCATATTATTATTGAATAAGTAAGTGTATTAGTACTATATTCAAAATATGGTAATCGCCTTCAAGACGATCATTTATAATATTATATATTCCTACAATATCTTAAAGAAAAATAGTGTTGCCAGCTCTATCTTGAGTTATGCTTCGACTTTGCAGAAACGGACGGGATTAATATAATAAAAGCAAAGTGCAAGCTTTAGTGCATTTCGCGGCACTTACTAAACGCTCATTTATTTTGATTAGTCTACGCTGCGGACAATTATATAGAAATACTAGTCGCCCGCCCGTTATGCCTGGGATCTTTTAAATGTTTAAGATTTATTTAGATGAAAGATAATCGTCAAAGACCCATCTATTTTATCAATTTCTGCCTTTTGAAAAAAATCTCCAAGGTTTTCCTATTCTGGCATTGCTGTTATCTGTTCGTCAAGTTTCATTGCAATCGGTTCAGCTATTCCGATTATTAGCTTGGACAGACAGAGAATTGTTTATGTCTTAAGAGTATACAATTAACCTATCAGCCTAAAAAAAGCAATTATTTCGATATCACAAACACACATTTTAATTTTATTTATACGTGTGTCATATAGATATTACATACTGTGGAAATACCGTCTCCACGATACTGTAGAAAACCATTTATTTACGTGGTAGAGCCATGCTGCAGCTATTTTATGGTTGTAGCACCATTGGGTCGGCTCCACCGGGGAAAGACTACGCTCTCACAGAATACCAGCGCAAAATAGCAGCTTAATGCTGCTGTGTTTCGTATGGTGAGTGCAGAGAACCAGAGACCTTTTTACTGGAAACGAGGCATTCCATCTTAGTCGTCAGAGCATCTGCATTTTGATTTTTAATCGAGCATAGATGTAGATGTCTATGGGCCACGGCATCCACTTACCATCAGGTGGACTGTGTGCTCGTGTGTCACCCTTATTCTATAAAATAAAATCTTAATCCCAACGCTTAAAAAAGCTTCAAAATATTATACAGCCCATCTTGTGATTCATTGATTCTCACCCTCCGAACGGCATTTCGGTAGACTATCGTACATCGCTTTTATATCTTATGAAAATAAAAGAACTGTAAAGTAGCTGTACACTTGCTTAAACAAGAAATAAAAAAAGAATAATTTCTAATATTGAAGAGAATACTACACATGGAATAAAAATAATTTTACGCATTTTATTCGCCCCGTGACCGATAAAATACGTTGAATTTGTGTGAAATGTTTTATTGCATAAAATGAACAGCATTAATAGGAATCACAATTAAATAGTTTGTTTTATCCATAGAGCAACACAGACCACCGGCGGCTCGTGTTGTTCTATGGTTTTATTAGAAGTCAATAAACACGTTAATTTATCAAGATCTTCGATCTACCAATTTTATGATTCGATAAATTTAAAATACCCACCCAGCGCTGTTTAATAGTAAATGTCATTCTAAAAGATAAATTGAAACCTATAGTGCACTTAAATTCAGTTCTCCTAGTGAAAAAGAATTTAATTATGAAGTGATAATTTTGTTGTATAATATATATTATATATATATCTTAATATATAAAAATTACGTGTCACGTTGTTTGTCCGCGATGAACTCCTAAACTACTGAACTGATTTCAATGAAAAATTTTATACTGTGTGCAGTTTGGTCCAACTTGAGAGATTAGTTAATCAGGATAGTTTTTATCCCGATAAGTAACCCTCAATATTTTTTATTGCGAATTTAAGAATTTTTTATATGAAGGGTCGTCGAAAAGGGCAGAACAACGTCTGCCTTGCTAGCTAATATGTATATATATATATACGTTCCTAAGAAATCATTAAAATTTAAATAAAACCAAATTATATTCAATAAATACATCCTTTTTCTCATTGTTTCCCATGGGTGCAGCTGTTATGATATTTGTTTTGTTAAATACAATATTTTCCAACAATATTTGTTTGAGATTTATCTTTTTCCCCCAAATTATTTCATTTATCAACCAATTTAAATCTGTTTTTAACATTCAATAGAGTTCCTTATTCACAATACAACTTTTTCTTTACTTATTAAGAAATGATAAAATCAGATTTATAATATAGCATATAATATAGGCACAGAATTTGTACGGCCGCATGATGTGATATTTCCTTTTTTAATTGTGAATGAATCGAATATAACTGTATCATTAATTCATATGCAAACCATAATATGCTAGTCTTCCGGATTTTAAATTTAACTATTTTTTATCAATTACAACATACAATAAAACTTACAACTTTCAATAATATTATATTTAAGTCTGGAAGTTGATTTTTCTGCCGACTTCCAAAAAGGAGACGGTTTTGTTTTTTTTATGTGTGTTACCTCATAACTTCTTACTGGGTGAACCGATTTCGATGATTCATTTTTATTTGAAAGCTGGTGTTTCTCGTGTGGTCCCATATGAATTTGATCAAGGTCAGACCAATAGTTTTTGAGTTATTCTTAATAAATTATATTGAAGTCTGCTGTACAAACTTCTTAATTTTAAATTATATTACCTATTATTGTTAAATTAATTCGAATGGAACCATCTATTATAAAACTAATATTACTATACATAAATCCAAAGGCGTAGCTAGGGTGGGGCAAGTGGGGCACGTACCCCGGGCGCCTTTCAAAGGGGGCACAAAAAAGTTAATTTTTAAATTTAATAGTCAAAATAAACTACAATAAACCAAAAAATTACGATAGTCATGCGCTCAATCTGATTGGTGTAGATGCAGCTAAGCAGGACACTATAATGGTCACTTTTTTCGAAACTATTAAAGCTCTTTACGTATTCTTTGTTCAATCCACACTGCGCTAGGAAAAGCGAACCATGCAATTAGCACGACCTTACAGAATACCAGCATGAAGGAGAAGCTTTACTTCCGCGTTTCGTCTGGTAAGTGTAGGTGGCTGAGGCCCTCCCTCCTTTCCATCACATAACATGGTAGTGGAGTAAGAAAGAAGACTACCCCAGGAGTACTATACTAGTTCCCCTGTTAATTGAAATTCTTCACTGAGTATCCACGTCTAAGCTACACTACTCGAACTTTAAAGCAGTCCATATGCATCTGGAGAGGGCCAAGCCGGCTTTACTTTTTAACCGAAACACAGGTGTCCTCTCCGGTTGAAACTTGCTTCCTTGTTCGTAATTTTCCTACCCGGGTACAAATTGCTGGCTGGAGTTTACGTATACGTCAGAGAGGATATCTGTTCTTGAC